TCAATAGACTTTGGAAAGACTGTTTGTAAGATGCTTTACTTCCACACACCAACTTTTACTATATATTCATACCATACTATGGTCTGTCTGATAAAAGTAAACTTTGAATACATTTAATATACTCTGAATTTCTCTTATTTCACACAGAAGCACATGTAAAGATTTATGAAATAGTAAACATATTTTTTTAATTTATAGTATACACTTCTTTATAGAGGTTTTATAAATTTAAAAACTACTATTACCTGTTTTTTTGTCAGATGAATTATATCACAATAGTTAATCCAGGAAATAGTAAAATTCTGTACATGTTTACCTTATTCACTCAGTGATTACAGTTTTCTGATGATCAAGGGGTATGACAACTGCAATGATGCAAGTATATTTCTTTAGTCATCCAAATGGCATCAGCAGTATGTATAAATACAAAACAAATAACTATACACAATGCTTTATGAATTATCATTACTGAAAAAGGACTATATCTTAAGTGTGCTTATCATATTTTGATAGAGACTATTATACATTTCTAAGAATATGCATTTACCAAGTCTACCAATTTTAGTAATATTACTTTTTCTGAACTTATATTTGTTTGGATTCAACTGGTACCAAGTTTCCTTTTAATAAAATTATTATAGCTGTTTCTGACACTGTAATAGGGTTTCTCATAACAAAATCATCCTCATACATATCAACATAAATAACATTATTTGTGTGTGTGTGTATGTAAGAGCAGGTCTTACAAACTAAACTTACTGACTGCAAAATTTCACAAGTTGCAACCAAAATTTTCAATCGGTTCATCAATAATCCATTTACAAAATGCCTCAAGCCATTCATGCCGAAGTGGGACTAATCAACTGTACACAAGTCCCTAAGGAACAGTGCAAAGTCTAGTCTATACAAAAGAGTAATATAGAAAGAAAGAAAGAAAAAAAAAAAAGAAATCACATTTAAAAACACAACATATATCATACAACACTGATAGTCAAGACATGCAATGAAACGCCAAAATTTCAAGAGAGGACGGAAGGAATCATTTGAATAGATATTTATGACACTGTATGTGTGAACAGACTTACAACAGACTCCACACTTGCCTGTTACAAGCACGGCAGCTGGCTTCAGGATTGTCACTGCATCTTCGACAAATTCTCGAAACTGCTGCACCTCTTCCTCAGCCCCCAAGCGGAGATGAATGTCCGAAACCTACGTCAGAAATTAAGGGTTACTGACCTTGATCATTACATTAATGGATGACTGTGTAAAAGACTGTATGAGTGCATTTGTGTGTTTGTTTGTTTGTATGTGTTTGTGTGCGTGTGTGCGTGAGTGAGTGAGTGAGTGAGTGAGTGAGTGAGTGAGTGAGTGAGTGAGTATGTGCATGTGAGTGTGCGTGTGTGTGTGTGTGTGCATAGACTTGTATATGTAAGCATGAACATAAGTAAACAAAGACAAAAGAATATTTCACAGAAGTTTGACTGTTTGAAACTGGCACCAATGAAATCAATGTGCAATAAATCTGTATAATTTAAAGTAACCCCAATACAAGTAAAATAATGTAAATAAATTTTTTGACTAATATGGGTCCATTCCCTTATCATAAAAAAATAATAGGCATAGAGTAATGGTTCAGCAATATAGGTATTAGCAAATGATGAAACAAAAGCAAACCATTTTTTTACAATACAATAAGGTGGGTGTGTGAGTGTGTGAGTGAGTGAGTGAGTGAGTGAGTGAGTGAGTGAGTGAGTGAGTGAGTGAGTGAATGAATGAATGAATGAATGAATGAATGAATGAATGAGCGAGTGTGAGTGTGAGTGTGAGTGAGCGTGTGTGTGTTTGAGTGTGAGTGTGTGTGTGAGAGAATCTGTGGGTGTGCATGTACACTTGTGTATGTCTTTGTCTCCTCTTTTATATGAGAGCAAAACTATTCATTATAGAAAAAAAAAACTTTTCTTAAATGGCCATACAGATCTCCAGACACAAACACCTTTCTCCCATCATTAATCTAGATTTTTCAGCACAGAAAAAAAGAAAGAAACATCAGAAACACGTTCCGCACCTGAACAAACCACGTCAGTCCTCCTTTGCTCTCCTTGTGACTGAACACCTTCTCTGTGTCTTTGCGAGGCTCGTAGTAGAAACTAGAGCCTATTTCATCGGCGGTTCTCTGTAGTTCCTCGTGATAGAGGAAGTTCCCGGCATGTGACTTCAGCTTCCAAGACCGCGCAACTAGTAAGGATATTGACAGCAGGAAGAGTCCGCTGGCCAGCACGAGGTAAATGCGGCGTCCTCGTGGAGTTAGGACCCTTAGCCAGAACCGAACCATCTAAAAAGAGGCATTTCACATTACATCATGAATGCAAAGATGAGGACGTTTCATACAGTATTTCAACACAGGAAGTGAATGCAACTGTATTTTCTTGGAATGTTAACATCATCTTTCTGAAGCAATATCTGAAGAGATTAGATTAAACTATACTATAATACTTTGCCAATCAAATGAATCAATCAACCAACAGATAGATAAACATATATATAAGAAAGAAAGTAAACATCATCAGTTTTACAACAAAACTGATATGTAAAAAAAAATTGAAACAACCCAAAGGACCTTTTTCTTCTAAACACCAAAAAACAACTCAATAATTCAAATAGAAAGTGTGTGTATTGGTTCCCTTACTTTGTTGCAAGGTGAAGCTGCATCAATTTGCATCAATCTCGTCTGCAAGAAGTGACGGGCCTCTTGCAATGCTGGCTGGTGCACGCTTATTTCCCCTTTGCATGGCCCTTCTTTCGCGTGTTTGCGAGGGTCATTTGGCGTGAAAGGAGGAGGTTCCTCCGCTTATTTCGCTGGCGGTGCTTATTTCGGCCACGTTTTGCACTTATCCGGAAACACGACGGAGTCTCCGGAACATTCACTGACAGATGGGCCTTATTTACTTGTTGGCATCTCTGCCAGACACGCACGCACACACATACACATATAAGCACGCGCACGCGCGCGCGCACACACACACACACACACACACACACACACACACACACACACACACACACACACACACACACACAAACACACACACACACACACACACACACACACACACACACACACACACACACACACACACACACTAATAATAATAATAATAATAATAATGATAATAATAATAATAAATATTAATAATAATAATAAATAATAAAACACGCGCACACACTCAAAGCATAAAGATGACCAATGAAATGAAACCAATATACTGTCCGTTACAAGAAAAACTCGTCGTAAATAAGGAAAGAAACACGCTACAAGCGAGGTTATTACAGAAGCCTTAAAGATGTCTTTGATGGCATGAAGAGAACACTGATGTATGTACAATATTAAAAAATAAGAAGCCTATGTGAGAAGAATAGACAAATTTGTATCCAGATTCTAAACTGAAGCAAGAAAGGGCCATGAGTGCTTCAACTATAAATGCAAGAAAATGAGTGAAGATAAGCAGTTTGAGAAAGGTATAAAATTGGAAGAAATGAGTATACCCAGATTTCCGTTGATGCCAAAATCAGTGAGGCCTTATAATGATGTCTTTATTGATAATGTCAATTGAGCTTTTCAGATCAATAAATGCAATAAGACTGGTGGGGAAGAGACAAGTGTTAAGCTCCATGAAGCAACAGGGCATCCATCTCCCGCTGGGACAGGAAGCCAAACAGTCTGAGCGAGAGATTGTGTTGTAGTCGGAGCATAAGACATGAAAGCAAAATGCGTTCAAAACACTTGCAGAAGCAGGAGGTGGGGGAGACAGGTCGGAATTTGTTATTACCAAATTTAAGAACTGGTATTATTGTGCTATGGGTCCAGGCCTGTGACCCTTATCCCCGACAAAAGCACACATTATGTCGCTGGAGGAGCGGATTTACAAGTATGCCCATGAGTACAAGAAGGGCTGCATAAGTAATACCTTTATCACCGGAAAGATCACGTTGCAGTTCATTGTCACTTATGGACATATCATCTTCACCAGTCTCCAGTAGCATTGAGACGGAGTGTGCGATGATTTTTTTTTTTTTTTTTTTTTTTTTTTTTGGGGGGGGCGTCTTGTATGTGTGGTAGAAGGTTACTGGCTTGTGACTGATTATTCATTGATTAAATTTTGTGTACACTGATCAGGGTTATGGTGGAGGGTATTTTGAGTGATTGATAAGGTGTCCCACAGGTGTGACATTTAAACTCTTCCAGTGAATGAAAGATTCCCTACATGAAAGACGAATGAGCACCGTAATTAGAGGGAAACACTCTACGCAGAGAAGAATACTAGCGGAGTATCTCAAGGATCGGTCTTGGCACTGATTATGTTTAATATTCTTATCAAAGATTTCGGGTCAAGCATGAGCCTAGGTAGTTATCTGAATACGTTTACAGACGACGCGAAAATACGGAAAAAGGAAAATAGTCTATGTCTTTCCCAATGCCTCCAAGGGGACAGCGAAAACTTTTTAATGTGTTGTACTTGGAAAACGTAGTTCAACACCAATAGAGGCCAAGTAGTCAGTATTTCGGAGAAAGTAAAAATCAACCCTTGTACCGAGAGAAGTTGGGAAACGAAGTATTAAACGCAACATATATTGAAATAAAGACCCTGAAACAATAATTAACAAAAAATTAAGTCCAAATGATTACATTAATGAAAAGATCCATAAAAAGGGAGGGCTGATTGCCAACATGAAAAGGGCATTCATGTATGTTTACGAAAATATGCCAAAGATCATTACAACCATCATAAGACCTTGTCCAGAGTACTGTGCAGTGAGTCCACACTTGCCAAAGGATATAGACAAGCTGGAAAGAGTTCTAAGAGCAGCCATAAGATGTCACCTATGGCCATTTTTGTAACATTTCCGAAATCCCTAACACTTTGATACACTCTGATACATGTTTGCCAGTTACGCGTACATTATTGGAACCTGTTGAAATATATATTCATTTTGTATGAGGTTGAAGGCAAACATTTTGGTACGCTCCGGCCAGCCAATTAGAGCGCGATACTTTTCAGATATATTTCACGTAATCTCAGATAGGGATTATATTTTCATTAATTACGAATCACTTCGTAAGTTTCTTGATATCATTTTTATTGTAAAGGTGTGTAAAATGTTTATGTGCCTTTTTAACAGTGCATCAAATTTATGTTCACTTTGAAGTCAATCATGACGGTCGCTGGAACGACATGGTAAGCATTTCCAACGTTTTAAGATATCCTCTCCGATCAAACTCACTATTAAAACACCTAACTATAGGCTCAAACCAATCCAAAACATGTATTTTATATCATGGGGTAAGTGTATGGAATGATCTGCCCTCACATCTCCACAATGCTCCGTCACTGCTGTCACTCAAAAAATCGTTGAAGACCCACCTATTACATATGTCAGAGTGAATGCTAATGTTTAGGAATAAGTATATATACAGGTACATAACAGCGGGTATTCATGCATCTGTACGAATGTTTACATAAGTGTACAATGTATCTATGTAATACATGCAAATGCATGTAAGGTTAATATAAGCATATTTGTGTGTGTGTATATATATATGAGTGTGTGTGAGTGTGTGTGTATGTATGTACATGTATATATATGTATATGTGTATGAGTATATTCATATGTATATGTATGTATGTATTTATGTATATGTATGTGTATATACATATGTTTGTGTATAGGTATATATGTTTATATGTGTGTGTGTGTATATATATAAACTGTATATGTATGTATGTTTATGTATGTAGGTATGTATATAGGTGTGTATGTGTGTATATATAGATATAATCTTGTGCAATATATTATTTTAGTGTTTTTTTATGAATTAAATATTTTTTTATTACAACTTAGTCCGATCTACTAGTCTACTAGTCTGTCCTGTGTTATGTGTATATGTGTATTTAGACATAATCTTGTGCAATATATTATTTTAGTATTTATTTTTTTTTATGAATACAATTATTCTTTTGTTACAACTTAGTCCGATCTACTAGTCTGTCTTTTGTTATATATAGCATATTGTATATTTTCACCTTTTTATTGTTATCGTCTTCAATCCACCTGCGAGTGGATTGACAGAATCTAAGAATTTAATACACATCAATTCCCTTATAATAAGGTGCCTCCTTAAGAGAACTTGTGTTCTCAGGAGGCTCAGCCATTCTATTGTTATTTTGTGTATATCAAACTGTTTTTATGTATATTGGCTAAATAAACGTTATCAATCAATCAATCAATCAAACGTGTCCGAGTCATATGACGTGGTATTGACTTCGGTAGGATGAATGTCTCCAAAAATCATTCTGTACATCAATGATATTACAAAACAAGCCTAAAAATATCAAATAAAATAATTTGATTTGGACACGGAACTCACTCGCGATGGATACGATGAGATCCGAAACCTTATGCAACTTCCGCATTTCATATGAAGTACAATGTATGTAATAATAATAATAATAAAAAACATATTTTGACTGAATGTTAGAAATATATTTAACCTTTCCACAGCCCTGCGAAGCAAAGAGTGGTGTGTATAAACAATATATAAGTACAGAGTAGTCAGGTACTTTTTCCATTTTATTTGAAGCTTCCACAATGTTTTCCTTATAATTGAATTCATACCGGCATATTAAGTACTTAAAAAATAACTTCTCCTTTCCTCAACACTGAATATCAGCAGTACAAACTTCTATGATATCGCGTTTCAACGTGAAACAATGTATCAAAGTGTTAGGAGTTTCGGGATGCTACTAAAAGGCCTCAACTTCATGGGATATGAACTAAGAGAAAATAGAACTTACCACTTTGGATGAAAGAATACAAGTAAGACGAAATGGCACAGTAAAAAGTTGAAAGTAAAAGGAGACGGCAACTATATCAGAAAATTCTGTTTCTCAAACAGAACGCTGAAACATGGAACAACCTCCCATATAACACGGGGTGTGGCAAAAAGGTCAACTCATGACTGCCGGCCCTCACGCAATTACGGTGCCGTGTTAACTAACCAGTTAACTATGCTCCTTACAGTAGAATAGCACTGGGTTCTAAATGACTCATTATTTTTTGGTGGGGAACTTTGTATACTGACTGAGGTAGTTAGATTCATTTTGCGTATATGTAGTCTGGGGTTAAATAGCGTAGTGATAAGCAAGATCCAGCCAGCATGTGGAACTTTGTTCATGCTTGATGATACACTGCCTGGTCCGCTTGCTTTGGTGACTTACGTCGTCGTATTTGATTTACTACTCCAATAGGGATAACAGCCTCATGTAAAACAGGTATGTATGTACCTCAATAACATCAAAATAAATCCTATCTTGGGGCCGAAAATTCTGTCAAAGTAATCCTTAAGCACCTAATCGGCTGGCTTGGAAGCTACAGTGCTAGGCTCACATGGAATCTCACCAAATAATAGTTTATCAGAGTTTAGCATGATCTTTCTCGCCTAATATCCTATCCTACCTGCTCTGCCCATTGCCTAACACGCCTCCTACATGTTTGTCATGCAACCTCCTAGCATAGGTACAGATCAATCCCACGTAATGAGACTTACGAGGCAAGGGGAAGGGAACTGCAAGGTAACTGCAAATGACTCATGGGAGGGAAAGAAAGGGAGAGAGGAAGGAAAAGGAAGCCAGACTTAGGGAGGCGCTGACTAACCAACCACTCCTACAGTGTACATGTATCTAATTCGGAAGTCCACTCCCTTCCCTTACTTACACGCGTTTGTATGTTAATAACAACAAAGAGAGAGAGAGAGAGAGAGAGAGAGAGAGAGAGAGAGAGAGAGAGAGAGAGAGAGAGAGAGAGAGAGAGAGAATGAGATAGAGAGAGAGAGAGATTGAGATAGATAGATAGAGAGAGAGAGAGAGTTAGAATGAGAGAGAGGGGGAGAGTGAGAGAGAGAGGGGGGGTGAGAGAGAGAGGGAGTAAGAGAGAGAGAGAGAGAGAGAGAGAGAGAGAGAGAGAGAGAGAGAGAGAGAGAGAGGGAGAGAGAGAGAGAGAGAGAGGGAGAGGGAGAGGGAGAGAAAGAGAGAGAGAGAGAGAGAGAGAGGGAGAGGGAGGGAGAGAGAGAGAGAGAGAATGAGAGAGAAAAAGAGAATGAGAGAGAAAAAGAGAATGAGAGAGAGAGAGAGTGAGAGAGAGAGAGAGAGAGAGAGAGAGAGAGAGAGAGAGAGAGAGAGAGAGTGTGTGTGTGTGTGTGTGTGTGTGTGTGTGTGTGTGTGTGTGTGTGTGTGAGAGAGAGAGAGAGAGAGAGAGAATGAGAGAGTGAGAGAGAATGAAAGAGAGAGAAAGATAATGAGGGAGAGAGAGAGAGAGAGAGAGAGAGAGAGAGAGAGAGAGAGAGAGAGAGAGAGAGAGAGAGAGAGAGAGAGAGAGAGAGAGAGAGAGAGAGAGAGAGAACGAGAGAGAGAGAGAGTGTGTGTGAGAGAGAGAGAGAGAGAGAGAGAGAGAGAGAGAGAGAGAGAGAGAGAGAGAGAGAGAGAGAGAGAGAGAGAGAGAGAGAGAGAGAGAGAGAGAGTGGGAAAGAGAGAGATAGATATAGAGAGAGAAGGAACGAGAACAAGTCTAAGATTAGTTCAGACTCAAGGTCACGCCCTCAAACTAGCAGGAGTGACTGACCTAGGTAACACCCCTTTGCACATGACCTCCGACCTTCTCCTTGACCTGCACAGACACTCCACACCGGACGCTGCCTCATCCTAGGGGCCACCACTACCTCTACTCAGCACGACTCTGCACGTCATCTTCAACCTCCGGCCACGCAATATCTATATCATACTATGAAAATGTGGATGTTAATGTTATTCTATGTATCTATTGTTATATTCTACATAATTTAAGTAAACTTAAATCACACACATACACACATACGCAAGAAGACAAGACAAGGAGTAACACATCTTTCCATGGAGGAACAGCCTCACTCAGCATCATTATCCCTTTAATAAATGGACATCTTGGTCGTCTATCTTTATCCCTAAGCACACTATTTATCATAATTTTGTAAGGCCCATCACACGGGTTCTTACATCTCTCTCTCTCTCTCTCTGTTTATCTATATCTCTCTATCTCTCTCACACACAAGCTCGCTCTCCCTCTCTCCCAATTCTGTCTCCACCCTTAAAGCGGAGGGACCGATTACAGCTAAGGGGGATACAACTCAAAAGGAAAATAATGAGAATTTCTCCAACTATGGTGCGTCCAATCTCACAAAAAAAATGCAACTCACCCTTAACCACTGCTAGAGCACTCCGATTAATAAAATTATCTATTACTCTGTTGAGATGATACATATCATGTATTCTGTTTCCTTAAAATTGATATACACATTATCATTTCAATCCAGATTTGCTATCCACAACACTTTTATTCTCGAGAGTCATTTGATGAATTGGGGTAGTCCACAGTCCGGGTTGAGCTGCCAATTTTCTTCTTTCCTGATTATACGTTTAGGTTTTCTATTTTTATAGCTAAAACATAAAATACACTTTTCAGTTTATATACTGAATTCAGAAGTTTTAATAATCTAGTTGGGGGCAAGGAATGGTCTAGGGAAAAAGACAGTTAATGTTATCATTATATTATATTTTACCATTTACAATGGTCAGTAATATGAATATTATTGAATTAGGTGTATATCATTCTCAATTGCCATTATAATCATACTATTTTTTTATACATGTAAAGAAACCGTCGTGCCACGGGACGTTCCATGTGGTGGAACACTTTGACCCGATGGGTTTTCGTACGTTTGGCAGCGCCGATGCCTCACCCGCAAGACTTGAAATAATTGCAAGTCTTTGGCGCTGCAGATGAAGCCTATAAATAAGTGACGTATGTGACTTTTTACAGAAAACAAAACACATAGCTGCTGCTATGCAAAATATATACAATTTAATTATATTATGATTACGATTTTCCTGAAAAAGACACATCCACTTCTAGACAATCATTTTCGTTGTTCCTTTTTTTCAGTTCAGTTCACACGCTGTCAAACACGAACTTCATTTTGCGAAGATAAGTGTTCCGGTGTGTTGCTTCTGACCTCGACTGAGGAGCTGCCCGACTTTTCGCATGAGTCAGTCCTCTGCTCGGTGTCCAAGTCGGTGTCGGTCTTCGTTCTGGACACGCTGAACAACTCCGTCGCCCACGTCCAACCCGTTCGAATCCGATGGCACACCCGCCGGCGATGGCTATAGTTGAAGAAGATGAACACCAGAGGGTCGACCATCAGGTGGGTGTTGTAAATGACGTAGATGAAGTTCAGAAACATTCGCGGGATATTACGGCGCAGGAGCTGGGAGATGCAGAAGGGAAGGCCAAAGACGAGGTTGGAAACGAAGACAGCGATCATGGCTCGGGTGGCGTTGTCTATGATCTTCTGGGAGGATCGGGACTGGACTTCGGTCAACCGCTGTCTGTTGCGTCTCACCTGAAAACAAACAAATAAATAGATAAATGGTAGTTGAATAAAACAAATAAAAGAATGATAAATTAATAAAACAAATAAAATATTTATAGATGAAAAAACAAGCAAAAAATAAATATATAAGCACTTATATAGCTGCACATATGTACATACATTATTATTAGATGAACATAAGCTCAGGAAATACTTGATCACACTAAACTATTCAAAACTCTTTACTCATACTTACCGCAAAGATCATGGCAATATAACATGCCATAGTGGTAAGAATGGGTATGATACAGTTGATGATGAGTATGATTGCCCGAATACGAGGTTCCGAAATCACGAAGAACGCGATCTAGTAAGGAAATTAATCAGTTAGTGTACTGTAGTCACTGTACACATAACTTTACATCTGAAGTGTATTTCATTCATCATTCCGCCATTAATAGAAATGTAAGGAAAAGTTTATTGGAAAGGATCAAATATAAAAAGGGATTATAGTACGTAATTAATATGGATCCCTAAAGAAAGAAAGAAAGAAAAAAAACGTTAAGCACCAAAATAAAAGTTATTTTAAAGTACAATCATACTTACAGTGGGAACCAGGAGAGTGTAGATGGTTATCCCCACAACCACAGTTTTAGCTAAGCCTTTGCTAAGATCATACGCGTTTGAGGCCCACACAGCTGCAGCCCTGGAGAGACAAGGTTGATTACTGCTTGAGAGTTCATCTAAACAAAGTATTTTGCATTTTTTCCATCCGTGGTAACAAGAACTTTCCAAAGAAAAGACAAAGGATTATATATTTCCCCCCCCATTTTCTCATTATATCAACGACTTTCCTTATGAAGCTTTAAAAAATAAATATGCTTCAATTTATCTAGTTAAACGACTTTATTATGATTATTATTATTGTCCACTGTAGTATAGTATGGACACTAGGCTAAAACCTAGTAATAAATATAACCTTCTAAAAAGGGCATAAGACCCACTAACTATTACACTGTGTTGGATATCTATTCTGTACATTTCGCCATAATAACAACCAGTTTCCCCACGAGCACTGGCCCGCCCATTACCTGAACACCGACACTGCGGCTATGACCATGAATTCCAAATAAGTGAGGAAGACATAGATGAAGAAATACGCCGTTTTGGCTTGGTTCGACAGTTGATTTTTGTTACAAACAGTCAGACCCAAGATCAGTTCTGCCTCCATCGGTCGACACACCAGGTTGTTCACGAGTGGGGACAGGAAGACAGGCACCAGCAAGATCTTCATAGAGGTCCTCGTCTTCTTGCAAGTGACTATACTCCAAAGGGCCACGCCGTTCGCTGAAATAAGGGGGGCTGTTAACGCACACTGGGCCAGGGTGTGTGACAGCGTGTTTGGATCCAGCGCTCAGTCCAAAATACAATGACATTCACGAATGCACACACATATACATATGTACACATATATACGTATGCATATAGATAGATAGATGACTGCCGCTATAGCTCAGTGGTTAGAGCACTGGACTCCGACCCTCGTGGTCCCGGGTTCAATTCCCCGTCGCGGCAGTCGTAAAAAATGCCTGCGCTCTAACTGCTTGCTCGAGCCCGAGAAAACGACGTATCGACTTGAGTAGTCAAACGCAGGTGTCGTAGGGGAAGTTACCGCCGAGGCACAAGTGTTAGCGCGCCGAACCGCGGTTGATTAGGAAAGGCATTCAATCAGGCAAGGGTGACACTGCCATATAACCTCTCAATACTGAATTGAGAGAGGCCGATGTCCTGCAGTGGAATGAATGGCTGTTGAAAAAAAAAAATAGATAGATATGTATGGAAGATCGTGAACAGTACTACTCAAGCTCCAAAATAATTCTAAAGACATTTTCCTTTCGAGTTAATATCAGACTCAAAGACAATTTCTAAGATACGACCTCATCTAGACGAAAATGAAAAAAAACAAACTATTCTTTGCTCTAAGATCCTGTGTTTTCCAAATTTCATTTCTCCAGATCCAGCACCACATTTCTATCCAACT